TTTATGAAAAAAAGTACCTTCCGGACGGATCAAAGATTCGATTTTGACCGATTCACAATCTTGTGGCAGCTTCTTTCAGGACACTTCAATGCCCAAAGGAAGCGACTGCACTTTGGCATCATCTGACGTGTTTGAAGACGCCATTTGATGATCATCGTGCTGCCATGCATTATACGAAATCTTCACTGGATAGCCTGCATCAAAGAGGCGTTTCAAAGTCTTCTGATGAGATGCTTGTCCATTTTTATAGCGCTCAAAGGCTTGGGTCAACAAGATCGTATCCCTATGTCTATAATAGTACCTTTTGGTGTAAGTCCTACGAGCATCGGGATGCTTCTCGTAGAATTGCTTGACAGAAACACATGTTTTGCAATTGCAGTAGTCGTTTGAAGCGGTTTCATGGTGCGACTCCATGTCGGTACTAATGTCATGGTAAGAAAATCGGAACGACAAAAGGTTGGACGCACGCGCGTTTGAAACGCCTCATTTAAAATCTTCTCATAATGTAAGAAGAAATGGAAGGCGCCCAAGCTAGCCTCTCAAGACGTCAGGGCGCTCATGTCCGCAGGCCCGTAGGGCCTCAAACCATTGCAGACGAGATCCAACGACTCGCGAATGTTGGGCTCTATGCAATTCCGGTGCGCATGTTCTGGAATAAAAAAGAGGGTAAGAAAGATGCCGAATTTCCATATACGTACGCTCAAATTACAACACCCGAATTGTGGAAAGATTCTATCAATAAAGCAAAGCAGGAGAGGAAGGACGCCAATGGCATCGCGATTCTGACACGTCCCAGTCGGATCTTCGTGGTCGATATTGATGTGTCCAGCAAAGATGGAAAATCACCGGGGATCCAGCTCTGGAACCAACTCGTCAAGGAACATGGTGAGCCTCAAACACTCAAAGCACAAACCGGTTCTGGCGGGCTTCATTTCTACTTTAAGGCCAACTCGCCCGGCCTCAAATGCACCCGGAATTTTGAGACCATCAAAGTTGGTGACACTGTCTATAGAATTGACGGTCGAGCTGGTGGAGGAGTCGTTTATGCTCACCCCGCAAGCTACGTCAAGGATCAGGGAAAGCTTGCGACATACGAATGGCTCAACGGGCCTCCAAGCTTTGATGCATGCCAGGACATGCCTCCTTGGCTCGCAAAATTTCTCAACGACCACGTTCAACAGACTGCAAAGGACGAGATCGAGGCCACAAAACACAAAACGTGCAAGAGTAACTCAAATGGCACACCATCTGTTAGTCAAAACTCAACATCGATGCCATTAGCACCTCTTGAAAATGTGCAAAACACGGAGGCCCTGCCCGGATTGGAAGGCGCGCTCCGAGAGATCAAGAGGTTGCTGCGTGACAAAGTGCAAGACAACACTAGCACGTTTAACGGTGTTGGAGAAAGGACCCCTAATGGGTGGCAGATTTTAAAGTTCAAGACAAACGATACGCGAATCTGCTTGAATGGTCATCAACACGATTCGAACCAGTTTAGCATCATGAGCAACGGGTGCATTCTTGTATACCGCTGTCTAAGTCCAGGGTGCATTGATCGACCAAAGCAACTGTTGGGCATTCACTTTTGGCCCGAGTGTTTGCCTCGGAGAGTGGAAGGGGAACTTTTCAAGACTTGCGAGAATTACATTCTTCCCTTTGAGCCTTCCACGGATGAAAGCGACGAGAAAAGGAAGAAAAAGGAAGATGACATACGAACAAGTAAAGCAAAATTGGCCTTGCTCGATCTCGCTTTGCGTATCATGAACCATTACTTTGCTGTCGTCCGCTCGACAAAGGCTGTCTACCTGGAGACAATCTACTCGAGAGACGCAAACGGGCAGCTTGAGCCCAAGGAGACTATCCATCGATCCGGCCGGGACTTCTTGGAGGTCTGCAGGAACTTCCAACTCCAGAGCCTACCTGGAAAGAGCAAGGAAGTTGTCAAATTCTGGGAGAGTAGTTCCAGACGCCGCGAATACGATCAAATCGTGTTTGAGCCGGACCCGTCAAAGGGGTCCTCACGACATTTCAATCTTTTCTCCGGGCTGAAATTCAAACCGCTCGACCACAAATTAACAGAATCGGAGCTCGTCGAGTGCGAGGAACAGATGCCAAAGCTCATGTGGCACTTTCGCAACATCTTGTGTGCTGGCTCGAAAGAGCGGTTTGAGTACAACATACGTTGGATAGCACACGCCCTTCAGAAGCCCTGGAGGAAAATCGGTGTGGCTCTCGTTTTCCGTAGTGGACAAGGGTGCGGAAAGTCTGTATTGTGGGACTTTTTTGGACGGATGGTCCTTGGCGCCATATACTATTTGTATTGTAACGAAATCGAAAAGATCATTGGCAAGTTCAACTCACTAGCAGCCAACAGATTGTTGATTGTATTGGATGAATGCGGCAGTTGGGGCGGAGCGTACCGCATGAATGACATGATAAAGTCTCTAATCACTCAGGAGACGACGTGTATGGAGCGCAAAGGCCAAGATCCTATCAGCGTGGATGACAGGAGCAACATCGTGTTCACCACAAATAATTTTTGGCCGGTCAAACGGGAGGCAGACGATCGCCGATACTCTTGCCAGCAAGTCTCAGATGCCAAGATGGGAGACAAACAGTACTTTGACGAGCTCGTGGAGGAATTGGAAAAACCGGAGACAGCATATCATCTCCATCGATATCTATCGTCCATTGATATTTCCAATTGGAATCCTCAGAAGATGCCGGTCACAGCTTGGGGGGAAGGCTTGAAGGAGCATTCGATTCCACCTCATGTCAACATGCCAATGCAAGCACTGCTTGAGAACGGGTGCTTTCACCCTTCTCTAGAAACGTGGGTAGCATCGACGGACATCAAGCGGACATATGACACGTTCCTGCTTCAGTTGGACATCAAAGAGGATCGCCATACCGACGTCAACATTTTAATGCGCTCTCTCAATGCCATTTTCAACATGAGGCCTGCGGCACGCTCCATTCAGGGGGTGCGGACCCACAAGGGGTGGTGGTTCCCTCCACAGGGCGCTATCTGCGAGGCGCTCCATAAAGGCAAGCTTCTGAGCTCGACCATGGAGTGGGTGGACACCTGGCAACGGCTCGACTATATCGAAGATAAGGAAGGGCCATGGATAACGGATCCCAACGCTCTTGAGAAGCTGGTTGACAATTCAAAAAAAAGCGACAATCCACGACAATCGGCCGCAGAGCAAAAGTGCTCCTTCTGCTCGAATCGTCATACATGGGAGGTGAGAAGGGATGAGGAGGGGCACATAGTGACTCGAGATGAGGCGAAAGATGATTCTTCTAAAAAGTGATTGAGTTCTAAATAGCTCATTACCCTTTTATTACCTTATACCACACACACATACACATATGACTGTACCCATGAAGAAGCCTCAAGCACACATCTCTGTTACTCTATTACCCCATTACCCATCGAATTTTA